CGCAGTTATTCGATAGAAGCTGTTGAATTGAAGGAGGGTGTTACGATAAATGGATGTGAAAAAGGAGAGATATGCTTAGCACAGAAGGATAGCCGGCCCGGGTCCGCCTCTAAGTCGAGGAACCGGGCTATGATTGGATGGATGCTGATACTAGACCGCCGAACTTTGCTCTCCACTTTGGAAGGACATCTCATATCAAGGGCACGGGTCATGACTAGATCATTAGACATACCTTTTCTTGAGCGAGGTAACAGGGTCCCTAATCCATTGGTGGTTATTCTGTCACATCTAGAAATTACAGCTAAGAGGAAGCTACAAGGAAGCTTATGTCTCCGCTTGACTGGTTCCATGCCTATCCGGAGCATACGTGGCGTCTGTGCATTCTCGTGTGATACGAGCTCTAGCGTATTCCCTTACCTTGCAGCGCCTTACCTCTTCGTCATACGAAAAACTTCAGTGTTCTTTGTGGTGTCTTTTTCATTGTCCTCGTAATTTCCTCTTCATTCTTCTTGTCTAATTTCCTTAACACGTTGACGACAGCGTGACGCGGTAACGCGTCCCACTTTGCGCACCTCGTGGGACATTGTGACGCGGTAACGCGTCCCACCCAAGTCATCCCTTTTTCTTGCGCTTGTGCGACTTATTCCTAAGGTCTTTGTACTCATTCTATAGGTCATACATTAGCATACTTAAAAACCACATGGCTCACAGAAAGGCCAAATATTCTTTAGTTTGGCAGAGGTTTTCCAGACCTTACGGATATGTCTGTTCAATTCATTCCTCGTTTTCTTTTCAATAACGTAAACATGTTGATAAAAAGGAATAACAGAAGTGAATACAAACCTATTCGTATGGGAAGATATGTGTTTTTACTGAAACAACCACGTCCAAATTAATTTTGGAACCACTAAAGGGAAATTAAGTAAAATTTCCTTTTCATGGCCTTAACACGTCATTTCGGTCAAACTTCCATTACTGTAACTCCTGATAAGCTAGACAGATCGAACATCATTGAAAACATTTCATCGCATCTAAGTATTGCGATTTACAACTTAAAATCCATGGATTTGGTGTGCGGCGGCTGCGCTCGCAAAATCGCTCTTGTCCCACGCGGTGCAAAAGCACAAAACGCGCGATGTCGTCAACGTGTTAAAATGACAAACCAATTGGATCGCGATCCGTGCCTTCGAACGGCCCTCAGTTTTTTTTTCTAGTTAATGACTTATCAATCAAAGAATGATGTTTGTTGACATGAAATTGGCTGACGTTGTTAACTCCTGCAAACGAGCGTGTCTTGGTGGCTAGTTCTAAGCGGAAACGGCGAGGACGAGCTCCCATTTCTGGAGTCTAAAGCAGTCAGATTTTTCCTAGCCGGAAAACAAACCATTTCTGCCTGGTAATATCAATCACACATCATAGAACAATAGTGATGCCATTTGACGCTGCTTTCTTCTAATCTGAGAACCCAGTATGATCATTTTTGCGTTGTAGATCTGCTCGCACCATGGAACCTATCGATGGTGATAAACATCCCGATGTGCCGTCAAAGGTAGGCACACCATGCAAAACATGGCCTTTTAATACACTTTTTTACGCTTTTTCTTCAAAAAATAACTCGGATTATTGCCACTCGACTCAATAACTTCCAAATGTGAAATCATGATAATTTTAGGAGTCTATTGATGTCGCAGCCTCATTCATCAAGGAACATGTTCCCATTCTGAATGCCACACAGCCAGAACATGTCGACAAGTGCAATACACTGTATTTAGATCGCAAAGAAAAAGTGACGGAAAGATTGAAAAACTAATTTTGCCACCGTTCATGTCGTTCAGGTGGTCCATCATTGAAATCCAGACATCTATTACCAGATAACAAGAAGTAAAAGTAAAGGGGAACAAAGTCATCGCAATATTTCTGGACAACTGCTGTCTTTGAAAACGAACTAGTGCAGTGGTGCTTTAGGTACCCTACCTTTTGTCATAGAATTTAAAGAAGTGACCCACGATTGGCTGAAGAAGCAAGCAATTTTTATGAGCGTTGCCGGATCATTGGTATTAAACCCCAGTCGTTATAGGTGTGGTAAGGACAGTCTCGAAGTCCTTCCACCAAGTAGTTTAACGTCATCAGAAGGCTCACCCTCCACCCACTGCATTCACCACCTTTACGGTACTCCAATATCAAACTTGACAAGGTCAAGTCACAGAAAATCACACACACAGCTTCAGGTTTTATCGCCCGAAACAATCTACCTGCTGACTTTGGACCTCTAGTGACCATCTCTTGCTGATGCTTCACTTTTTCCCATATTGAGTTTTGAGTTAAGCAGAACAACCTCAAACCGTAAGTCATTACAAACCAGGTGCGGCTCTTAATAATCGCCACGCAAATTTGTGTTCTCTTCTTTCCTGTTGACCTTCTAATGTTTAGCTGTCATCTACGACACTTCAAGTGTCCTAATGCAACTCTCCTGTTCACGCACTATGATCGTTAGCGTTACTGTAATATATACAGGGGGGCAATAAAAAAAGACATTTTGTCTCCAGACTCAAATGGATTTAATCACACTTTGCTCAGCTCAAAGCGTGTGCTCCCAACTTAGAATTGAAGAGCGCATTTCATTTCATAAGAAAATCTTCATAGTGGCCATCTACGTGGACGGCATCAGAAAAGTTTGCCCCGGAAACATGGTGCTCTGGTCGAGCTCAATGGGGTTCTCGACTGATCGTGTACCGTTACGACGGGTTCCGAAGGGCGGGTTCCGAGGAGGTTTGCATAGTTAGAGCTAATGTCCCTAGGAAACTATCCCACGTTGAATCGCAGTTACTGTAGGCCTCCCTGAGCTCGACGACGGTGACAGATGACGTCATATTCTGAAGACGGTGAGGGTAGTGAAGGAGGGCCTGCGTGTACTTATAGAGGGACATTTAGGGAATATTTTGCTGAGGAACTTCCGTCAACGACGGCAATCTCTGCGAAGAAAAGGGACCGGAGTGCGACATAGTCAAAATGTCTTTTTTTTTTCTCTCCCCCCCCCCTGTACAGGTACTTGATTTCAGGTGTCTGAGGACTGTCATTACATTATTGGTCCATATCCTGGTTCATCAAACGTGCTAATTGGTGGATGCGGTTCAGGAAGTGGATTCAAGGTGGGGGATATTTCTGAGAAAATATAATATTTCTTCTGCAGTTTGCTTCAGTTCTCGGAAATGTTAATATTCTTCCATGTTCTAGGTTGCACCAGGTATCGGCAAGGTACTCGCTGAGATGGCATCGGGAAGTCAAACTTCTATCGACGTCTCGTTCTTCTCTTTTGAACGATTTCTGAGGCGATAGGATAGAATTTAATAAATTCAGGAACTTTCCCGACCGAAATTATTTTTTGATTGCTACTTTTATTTAAATCATAATAAAAATCTAATCAGAAAAATTAGGTTCAACAACGGAATTGAAGTTAGGCCATTTTGATGCAGAAAACTAACAGAGAAGCGCAAATCATGGCGCGAGAGAACGAGTGCAATTGTTAAGACTCACATCTCGTGCCGATCAACTACAGGGCCAGCTACCGCTGCCACGGCAATGTAAACCCGCTTTTGCACATATCTACATTAAGTAACGTAGAGGCCACAATTAGTTGAGTGGCTTCAGAGCAGGCCAATAACTACTGTAACAAGTAGAGCAGTAATAATGGCAGAATGCCTCAAAATAGCGACAGTTAGAAAGGAATAGAACTGATCTGGGTTATGAACAGTAGTATATATTAGGTTGGTAACTTTGAAATGTCGCTTCCTTTAGTGGCTTTGTTTCTCAGCTGAAACTCAACCTCGTAATATGGGAGACCATCCATTCGAGAGAGCGATTCAGTGCGCATATTGCGAAATCTTAGCCGTCAGTGAGCGGATGTTCTTCGAGCCAAAACTTTTGCTCGAAGATGATTGATCAGAAAACATCGTCTGAGCGTGTATATTCAAGCAAGGAAAAACAGCCAACGAATCCCACTCATTGTGTGCAAAACATTGAGCAGCAACACTCAGTCTCTGATGCACTTTCAGCTATGGTTTCAGCTCTTCCAAGACTGAGGTAAAGGACCTGATGACGAGGTCGTGGATTTTGACCTCTAGCTCTAGATGACGGAGAAATAAAGAAAGCCAACGAATTGAGTCCTCGACAAACCGCACAAAACTTGCATGGAGATTCAGTTGTGTCAACAAAAAATTTGAAAGTTCCTACGTGCGACTGTTAGGCCTTTCAGGAAGAAAATGGGTTCGGCCTATTCTGAGCGACACGAGCAAGCAGTACTGGTTGATAATACTTGAACT